TCATTTTTTCAACTGCTCTTTTAACAACCCCTTCACCCGTTCAACCAATCCTGCAGCTTGTGCATAGTCTGGGACATGAAAAACCCTGCAGGCTTCATCCCTGTATTTTTCACAGCAACAGACAAAGCCCTCTGCATCACAGTATCAGCAAACCCTGAGAAAATAGCCAATTTCATCCCTTCCTCCTTTTTACATTGTATACAATCTCACATAGTTGACCACTGACATGAGGGTCCTGGCCAATCCTGTTCTGTAGGGTATTTAGAGTTACATCCCTGAGGAGCCAAAGCTACCAAATTAGTATTGTCAGCACTATTTCACATTACTATTATTTCATATGTAGATATACATATTGATATACATATAGACAGATAGATACAGACATATATATATAATATATATATGTGTAAATATACAGATAAATATATATATTAAGGTCTTATTATACAATAAATACATATAGTTAGTTATTATATTGATATTTCACTGGCACAAATGCAGCTGAGCTCAAGATTAAAACCTTCTGCTCTTGCTCCATGTGGGAGCATTCCAACAATAATTGTTCCTTCTGAAGGTGCTGTTTCCAATGGACTCTTAACAAATTCATCTTTGTCTGCCCAAACCCACAAGTCCTTTTCCTTTTCCATGTGCAATTTTTGGATGCATTTGAAGACATTCAGGGCTGCAGCTTCTTTTACCCGACTGCCCCACTGCTCCCACGGGGCTCCCACCTCAGCCCACTGCAGAGCCAGGGAACTCCAGGGAAGGGCTTCCCATCTGGGAATTTCTGATGGCACTGATGCCTCACATTGACATTGAACAAGTGACATTTGGTTGGGATCTGGCCAGACTGGGCCAGTTTGGTTTGACCAGTGGCCAAAGTCAGCACCAAAGACACAGACTCCAACTGAAGGAATCAGTGTCATTTCCTGCAGTTCAGAGCAGCAAAGAATTACAAAAGGAGCAGCTCAGCAATGCACCCAATCATCCCCACCAAAGATTGCCTGCAGTGGTTAAGAAAGATGCAGCAGCATTTACCCTCAGCCTTTGCCATCCCCCAGATGCACACAGCAGCTGGGGAAGCTGTCACAGCCAAGGGCTGCAGAGCCACTCCTGGGCACTGGCAATTCCTGCAGGTGCCTCCAGCCCCAGCTGAGGCTCCAGGCCCGCTGGGAGAGGGCCCAGCTCTGACAGTGCTGCATGAACAAACTGACAGCACTGCTAGTGTGGCAACATCTGCTTTCATCCTCCTCTTGGCTCCCTCCCAAAGCCTGGCCAGGCCTCAAGGAGGAGCCAAGGCAGCTGACTTTGATCCTTCAGCCCCACACAAGGCCAGATGTCAGATTTCATGGCCTTCTCTGGCTCTAAATACACAAAGGTCCATCCATGTTTCACTAAGGAGTGGCTACATCTATCACAGTGCTAATGACCATGCAGATCTCAGCAGGGAGCAGATACAAAGATAACCTTTGCTTGGAAGGTTCCTCCAGAGGCCACCTTGGGCTCAGGGCCTGCTGTCCAGGCCTCACTCAGGGCTGCTGTCCAGGCCTTGGCACTTCAGGGACGTGCTTTAGTGCTGGGCTTGGCACTGCTGGCTGAGCGGCTGCACTGGGTGAGCTCAGAGGGCTTTTCCAACAGAAAGGATTCTGTGATTCCATGATGATATCCGCTGCATTCAGCTGGGGCTATTTCAGCAGCATTACTTTGCTCCAGAAGTTCCTTCTTGCCCAGCTCCTGGGGCCTGAGGCTTCAGCTCCTTCAGCTGCTGGTGCTGAGCTGCTCATGCTGAACGAGAGCACTCGGAGAGACGAATCCAGTCCATCCAATTCCTTCTGGGACACGCAGAGGGGAGGCTGTGCAAACAGGAGCATTGTTTGCTGTGGCCTCCTCTCTGCCCTTCACGCCTTTCAGCGCTTTGAAGCAGCCAAGAGCTTTCTCCAAGAGTGCAATGGAGCAGCTGTTCCTGCTCGCGGGCCTGGCTCTTCCCAGTCTCTGCCCTTGCCTGCTTCTGTCCCTCTTGCTGTGCCCTCTGTTCCCCCAGGGCTGGCTGGCTGCTGCCCAGGACTGTGGCACTGGCACAGATCCAGTGCTCCAGAGCCTCCTTTCTGTGCCCCTGGAGCTGCCTGGGCACAGCAGCCTTTTCCATCTGGAAGCTCCCCATGGACAGGGAGTGCCCAGCTCCGTTCCTTGCACAGCCTCCAGGAGCCCAGGGCTGCCATCTCAAGTCCCTGCTGGCACTGGGGGCTCCCAGGTGCCTCAGGCTGCTGTGACACCGCTGCACACGGGAGGGAACAGGGCCAGGGGCTGTGCTGAAAGTCAGCTCCATCTGCTGCTGCTGCTGCTGCTGCTGCTGCTGCTGCTGCTGCTGCTGCTGCTGCTGCTGCTGCTGCTGCGGGGTCATTTGTGCAGCCCTGGCCCAGAGTCAGGGATCAGATGCTGCCAGTCTCTTCCAGCCCTGGCTGCTCAGAGGTTGGGCCTTAGAGCCTCAGGTGGCCAAAGGCAGCTGCTGCTGGGCCCTCTGTGTGTGCCCGTGTTCAGCAGTGCTGCTCCATCAGTCTGTGCCCAGCAACAGGGAAAAGCCTCAGCCCTGCAGGGCCAGGAGCTGCCGGGCTCTGCCTGAGCAGCTCAGCCAGCAGGAAGGGAGCTGCTCCACACAGGAACCAGGAGCAAAGGACATTCCTTCTGTAGGACATGTTTTCTATTTAAAGGAAAAAAAGGAAAAAGAAAAAAAACTATATAAAATGTGAAAGATGAAAACAAAACCCAAGTGTTAGTGAAAAAGTTCTGAAACTTTGCATTAAGAGGTAAATGATCTTTTTTAAAGGGGAACTCAGTTATTTACATTGTAAATGTGCTGATGGCATGGATCCATCTTACTTATCCCAGCAACCTTTGAAAAGATTTTGGGCTTTGTTTCCAACATTGCCATTTGAAATTGTGCTCAAAGCAAGAGGAAATTGCTTTGTGCCCTTCCAGCTCCAAGCAGGACTGGGAATGGAAACTCTGTCAAAGCCCAAATCCTTTAGAAGATGCCCTTCCTTCTCAGCCTGGCAAGGAGCTGCACATTCCCTTTGAAACTGTCAGGGATTTCTTAGAGACACAAAGTGCCACTTAGGGCTTTTTGCTCTGGTTTGGCAGTGCAGAAGGGCAATTCTCCATCCATCAGCTCCAGACTGCACTGCCTCAGGAACACGGCCCACTCGCCAGCTTTGGCCCACTCAGGCACTTCTAGAGGAGGAAGAAAGTGCAATTGCACAATTCCAGCCAATCAAGAAGGAAGAATGGGACAGACAAACACCCTGTGCAGATCCAGGCGTTCAGCTGGGACTGTGGAGGGTTTGGGTTCTTGCCAATTGGATGTGTGTCCCCAGCTGCAATCTCTGGGCCTGCAGCAGAGTCTCACTCAGCTGCCAAAGCAGAAAGCTCAGGCGCTGTGCTCGCAAGGGGCTCGTCTGATGCAGAGCTGTCAGAGCAATGTGAGGGCAGAGCCAGCCCAGCTGGGCCCAGGGCTGAGCCCAGCAGAGCCCTGGCAGAGCCCAGAGCAGCCTCAGCAGCCGCAGAGCCCGGCTGCAAGGAGAGAAAGCAGAAAGTGCCCCTCAGCTGAGGGCTCCTGTGCCCTTGTGCCAAGGCCTGCGGTGCCCAGGCCATGCTGGCTGTGCCCAGAGCTGTGCCCAGAGCTGCCCATCCCTGCTGCCTTTGGCAGCAGAGCAGGAGGGCAGGACATGTGCCCAGCCTGCAGCCAGCCACGGCACATCCAGCCCTCAGCAGCTGCCCAGAGCAGGATGCTCCTGTGCTCGCTGCCATCTCCCAAAAGCTCTGATCCCACCCTGCCAAGCACACAGGGACCCACCTCACGCCAGCCACGGCTGCAAGAAAAGCTGCTCCCAAACCACGTCCTCAGCCTTCTCCAAGGCCACCGCCCATCCACGCCACAGCTGCTCCCAAGCACTTCCCCATCCCCACTGGACCACCTGGAACGCTTCCTCTGGAAAAACAAACAACACATTCTTGAAAAGAGATTACAGACAAAAAGGGAAAACAAGAAAAACGGGAAAAAATCTTATCTCTGTCAGGGCCTTGAGGAAGGCCCAACTCCTACATGGTAGGGAAAACCCAGCCATGGCTGAGGGAAGCCCACACTTTCTCACTTCCACCCTGCACTGCCCCCCAAAATCACGGTGATCCCAAAGCAAACAAGGGCAGTGCAGCAGCCCAGCCCTTCCTTGCCAGCAGAGCAAAGCAGCCCCTGCACAGCTTCTGGAGTCCCACCTCTGCTCCCACCATGGGGCTTTGCTTGTGTCGGGCTGGCTGCCCCAGCCCCAGCCCCAGCCCAGGCCACGGTGGCTGCTGGGGGCTGTTGGCAGGGCCAGGAGCCCACTCCCATTTCATACCCAGCCCAGCCCATGCCCCAGCCCTGCCAAAAGCAGCTGGGCAGCGACTGAAGGATGAGTTGCATCTGCCCCAGCAGAGGGGGAACCTTTGCTTCCCAGCCAGGCTGGGCCATGCCCAAATCTGGCCGCACTTCCCCACGTGGGGACTCACCTGCAAATTCCCTGTGGAGTCTGGCTTTGAAGAAGGTGCCAGAATCAAAGTCCATCACCTTCAGCCTCCAGTGGCCAGGCTGAGGAAGAGCTTCTCATCCTTGGTGCCATCCTGGCTGTCTCCAGCAGCAGCAGCAGCAGCATCCCCACCCGGTACAGCTTCTCCAGGGGCTCCTTCTCCTTCCCTGGGGGGACACCAGGCTCTCAGGGCTCTGCCCAGGGCCCCAGCTGTCAGGGAACCAGCACAAGCAAAACCAGCTTGGATGGCGGCCACCAGTGCTGGGCAGAGCAGCTCAGCTGCAGCACAAGGGCTGCGTGTGCCCATCCCACGACCCTGTGCAGTGACACAGGCAGCACAAAAAGGTCTGGGTTCCTTTGCTTCTGATTGCCAAGGCATGTGTGGAGCTGCAACTTACCAGGGCCCTGGATCAAAGTGTGCCTGTGGCTCTCTCCCTTCTTCTACGGCCGAGGAATATCCTGCACCCAAGGATCACAGAACAGGTCTTCTAATGTGGGTCTTTCCAAGGAGTTCACGGATAAACACCACCTGATCAGATCTTTGCACTCTGGGCAGAGAAAGCAGAAACTGCCGGTCAGCCAGAGAAGGCTCCTGTCTGCTTTGCCCCACTATTGCCATGCCCAGGCCATTCTGGATGCGCTCAGGGCTGGGCCTAAACTTTCCCATCAATTCCCTGTTTTGGAGGAGAGCAGGACATGTGCCACCTCCTCAGCAGCTGCCAGAGCGGGATGCTCACGAGCCCGCTGCTGGCTCCCAGCACTGGGATTCCCCCCGTGCCCAGAGAAGAGGATCCACCTTGAGAGAGCCCTTGTGGCAGCGGGAGCTGGCCCCAGCTGAGGTTCCGGCCCCTCCTGAAAGGGTGCTCCCCGCAGACCATCTGGTGCAGCAGGATGCCCAGGGACCAGATCGTTGCTGCCTCGCCATGGTACCAGCCAAAGTCGTTCCATTCCGGGGGGCTGTAGGACAGTGTTCCTATGGAATACAGATGGAGTTCAGCAGGGGGATGCTGCTGCTCCCAGAGCCTGGCCCCAGCATCCCTGGGCCTGTGGGGGCTGCATCAGTGGCACACAGGGTGACCACTGCCCTCTCGCCAGCACCTGGGACTTGTGCACAAACTTAGGCTTGGAAAAGAAGTCACTGGTGTCAGAAGAGGGCAGAGGAAGCCCTGGCTAAGCCTGACCATGACAAGCAAAGGAAAAACCCTCTCTGTGCTGGGGAAAACATGTCCTTATCGTCCCTGTCTGCATTGCCCCAAAAATATTAGGAAGAAAAGGCAAACAGGGCGAGTGGAGCAGTGCAAGCCCTTCCTCTTGCCTGCACACCAAACTGGCTGGGGCACAGGTTCCACCCCCCTCTCTGCTACCCCCACCCACAGGGGTTTGGTCGGGCTGGCTGCCCCAGCCCAGCCCCAGTCCTGGGCAGAGTGGCTGGCAAAGGCTGCCAGCAGGGCTGGAAGATGGCTCCCCACCCAGCCCCGCTCTAAAGCAACTCAGCTGAAGACTCAGTCCCCTGACTGGCAGCAAAAGGGAGAATCCCCGCTGCCACAGCCAGCTTGGGCTGGGAGATGTTGGGCCATGAGATCCCGGGACCAGGAGTACACCCTTACGTGGGCTCACCTGCAAAGTGGGTGTAGGCTGTGTCTTGCAAGTAGGTGCCACAGCCAAAGTCAATCAGTTTGGCCTGCCCGGTGGCCAGGTCAAGCACGATGTTCCCTGGCTTGATGTCGCGGTGCAGGACCCCGCAGCTGGTGCAGTGCCGCACGGCCTCCAGCACCTGGCGGAACAGCTCCCGCGCCACCTCCTCGGGCACGAACCGCCGTGCCCGAATGACACGATGCAGGTCCTGACACCGCTCTGGCCGCTCCATCACCATCACGATGTGGTTGGGCAGCTCGAACCACTCCAGGAGCTGCACCACGCCGGGGAAGCCAGTGGACACCTTGGCCTGCAGCACGATCTCCAGCGGGGCCCTGCTGCCGTCGGGCTGCGGGAGGAGCACGATGCCCTCAGTGGGGCCGATGCCGTGCCAGGCCTGGGGAAGCCCTGAGCCAGCCCGGGATGCTCTGCGCCCTGCGCTGCGCCCACGCCCGCTCCCCCTCGAGGCGTCCTGGCGGCTTCCACCGTGCCGGGCCTCGGCTCATCCCCGCCCGGCAGCCCCGGCTGCTGCCTCTGGCCCCGCTCACTCACCAGCTCGCCCCAGTGCCGGACGCGGTTCCGCGGTACCCTCTTGATGGCCACCTGCAAGCCAAGGACAGCAGCGGGCTCAGCTCGCCGCCCGCCCTGCCCAGCCCCATCCTCCTCCTCCTCCTCTTCCTCCTCCTCCTGCGCCCCCTCGTCCTGCGCCCGCCGCCGGCCCCGCCGCTCACCGGGGCGCCGTCCGAGAGCCGCGTGGCCGCGAAGACGCTGCCGAATCCTCCGCGCCCCAGCAGCGAACCCAGGCGGTAGCGCTCCTGCAGGGCCTCGGGCGCCGTCCCTGCGGGCGGGACGCGGCTGTCAGCGCTCGGCCCGGGGCCAGCAACGGCCCCCGAGCGCCCCTCAGCCGCCCCGGGCCGGCCATGCCCAGGCCTTCGCTCCTCGGAACGCGGCACGGCAGGCTCGGGGCCGGCGGCCGCGCTGCCGAGCGGCGGAGCTCGGGCCGGGGAAGCCGCAGCGGAGGCGGCAGCAGCGGCCGCGCCGCCTGTGTCCTCCGCGGGCCCCGGGAGTAGCCGGGGCCGGGGCCGGGGCCGGGGCCGGGGCTGGAGCCTGCCTCGGGGCCGGGGCCGGGCTCGGGCCAGGCGGAGGCAAAGGGCGGCGATGCCGCCCCCGCACCAGGCACTGATGCCCGCCCAGCAGCGCCACCGCCAGTAGGGCCAGAGCCGGGCGGAGGCGAGACCGCGGCGGGACGGGCGGGGCCGGGCACGGGGCAGCCCCGCCCGGGGCCGGGGGCGGGCCGGGGGCATGGCCCGGCCCGGCAGGGGGAGAGGGAGGCGGGGACACGAGAGGGAGGCGGGGAGAGGAGAGGGACGCCGGGCAAGGGACCCCGGGAGAAGGGTGCCCGACGGCGGGAAATGGAGACACAGAGAAAGAAAGAGAGAAAGAGGAAGAAAGCGAGAACGAGAAAGAAGGATAGAAAGAGAAAGATCCTTATCGAGTATCTGCTTTTCTGCTTCTGCCGCTGCTGCCGCCGCTGCTGCTGCCGCCGCTGCCGCCGCTGCAACTGAAGCACCGGGGCCGTTCGTCCCCGTGTCCGTTCCCCGCTCGCCCCACGAGCCCCACGTTCGAGCCCCGCGCGCCCCGGGCACAGCCCCTGAGTCCGTCCAAACACGGGAACTTTGCAGCCTTGAGCCCAGGTGCAGAGCCCTGACTCCTGCACACTGGCACAGCAATCCCCTCGCTTGCTGCTCTGCATTGGCCTGGCTGAGGGGCAAACACTGGCGGGACACCTTCCCTTGGGCTAGGATTCCTACCTGAGCCCAGCACTGCACTTACATCTCCAGTGTTGCCTTCCAGTAACAACAGTGGAAGCAAAACTGTGTGTGCCTCATGGTATTTTAGAGTGTCTAAAAATCACTAAGCCACTGATCTTAGAGGTACAGTACATCTGGAATTACTGGGATGGAGAAGTAGTGCCCCATGGAAAAGGGGAGCATAGAAATAAATAGAGGAAAACATCTTGGATTGTTTCTTTCATTTACATTTCACTTCTGGAAAGCTGTTGCTGTTTTCCAGGAATCTTCTCCTGTCTGCTCTTGCCAAGAATCTCTCCTGGAGAACAAGGTCAAGCTTCTGTCCCAAGATTTGCCACCAGCTGCAGCTTCTCTTGGCTTTCCACACTGCACAGTGTCTGCAGCAGGACTTTTGCAGCAAAGCAGGACAAATGTTTGGAGAACTTTACGTGTCCTTTCTTTTCCTGGTGGGCTGGGGTGTTTTGCCACTGGTGAAGTTTCCATTGTGACTGTTTGTGCTGCTTTAGGGCAAATTTTGGGAGGAAGCCTCCAAAAGGGGTCAGTCTAGAAATCAAGTTCCAGTGGCCTCTCTCCCTACTAGTTCAGAAAAAGACTTCCCTTGGGAAAAGTAATAAAACCCCAGTTTATTTATCAAGTAAAGTATTCACAAGCATGAAAAATGAATAATACTAAATAAAACCTCTGACAATGCTGAAGAGATGGCAAATTCAGAAAGTCCTTTTTTGTGGGTTGTAGTTGGCTCACTCGGTCTCTTCTAAGTCCCTCTGGTGCTGGAGTGCAGCGTCCCAGACCTCGGTGGGCCACAGGTGTGAGCTGCAGGTGTTTTTCTGGGTTTTCAGTCCAGAGCAGGTTTCAACAGTTCCAAGAAAAAGGAAAGTCCCAGTCCCAGGAACTTCTCTGCCTAAGCTAGCTAAAACCAAATTGCTGGACCTGGGCTGTGAAGGCACCGGGAAATTTCCAAATCTGGGCACTGGCACTGCCAGCAAACACCAGATCTGGATGGTGCTGGAGCCAGAACCTGGAAATTTCCAACTTTTGGCTTTCTGTGCCAGCAAATCACTGGACTTGGGCTGTGCTGGCACCAGGAAGTTTTCAGATCTGGCCGCTGGCGCTGCCAGCAAACACCAGATCTGGGTGGTGTCGTTGGCAGCGACAGAAATCTGCCGGATTTGGGCTCTGCTGGCACCGGGAAATTTCCAAATCTGGGTACTGGCACAGCAAACACAAGATGTGGGCGGTGCCAGAGCCTGTAGCAGAAAGTGGCCGTGTTCTGGAATTCTGTGCCAGCAAATTGCTGCCCTTGGGCTGTGTCAGAATAGGGAAATTTCCAGCTCTGGGCACTGGCGGTGCCAGCAAACACCAGTGAAACCTTCTGGTCCTCGTCCGGACCATTGGCCAGTGGTTTCCCTGAGAACCAGCTCTGGCCACTTTACAGACAGAGACTGCTTTCATCTGCTTGTCTGGAAACAGAACTTTAATGAAGGCAAACACAACAAACAGGATGGCGTGCACAGTACACAGAGCAAAGCAGAAAAAAGCCTGGGTCCAGGGTCCAGCTGGGATATTTATCCATTTATATATGGGGAGGGGTTAAGGTGGGAACTGAGGGAAGGATCCAAGAGGAAGGAAGGATTATGAATATTACAATTTTTGCAGTAAAATGTAACCAACGGTAGCAAAGAGAACTCAGAACTTTCTAGTAACAATCTGCATAACTGAACAAGAGGATTATGGGCAGGAGCTCCTGCTGACCCCAACTAAAGAGGGTTTTCCCACGGCCTTAAGCTGAGGTCTCCTTCTTCTTTTAAACCAACCCCAACACACCAGATCTGGGTGGAGCCTGGTTTTGGCTTTCTTTGCCAGACAATTGCTGCATTTGGGCTGTGCTGGCACCAGGAAATTGCCAGATCTGGGCACTGGCGGTGCCAGCACACACCAGATCTGGGTGGGGAATGTGCAGGCACCAGGAAATTGCCAAATGTGATCTTTCTGTGCCCGTATATTGCTGGAATTGTGCTGTGCAGGCATCTGAAAAATTCTGGATATGGGCACTGGCAGTGTCAGCAAACACGAGATTGGGTTGCTGTAGGTACCAGGTATTTGCCTGGTTTTGGCTTTCTGTGCCAGCAAATTGCTGGTCTTGGGCTGTGCTAGAATAGGGAAATATCAAGATCTGGGAACTGGCAATGCCAGCAAACACCACATTTCCGGAAGGATTGGATCTGGACCCGTTCCCCTCCCTTCCCTTTTCTCTCTCAACAAGGTGCCAGAGGGGCTGGACAGCAGCCAGGCAGAAAGGGACCTGCAGGGACTGGTGGACAGCAGGCGGGACATGAGCCAGCAGTGTGCCCAGGTGGCCAAGAAGGCCAATGGCTCCTGGCCTGGATCAGGAATGGTGTGGCCAGCAGGAGCAGGGCAGGGATTCTTCCCCTGTGCTCAGCACTGCTTGGGCAGCACCTCAAGTGCTGTGTCCAGTTCCTGGCCCCCAGTTTAGGAAGGCCATGGAGGGGCTGGAGCGTGTCCAGAGAAGGGCAACAAGGCTGGGGAGGGGTCTGGAGCACAAGAGCTGTGAGGAGCAGCTGAGGGAGCTGGGGTTGTTTATCCTGGAGAAGAGGAGGCCCAGGGGAGACAAGGTGGTGTCAGGGCACAGGTTGGACTTGATGATCTCCATGGCCTGTTGCACCCTTGCTGATTCTGTGATTCTGTAAGCACCCTTGGAGCAGTTGCAGGATGAGCCCTTGGCCTCCTCTTCAGGAGCTCCAGCAGCCCAGGTCCCTCAGCTTCTCCTGCCAGCCCCAAAGCCCATCCTGTCAGTCCTGCAGAGCCTCTGCAGCTCCTCCTCACTGCCCAGAACAGGGGCCCCAGAGGCAGACACAGCAGCCCAGATGTGCCCCCCTGGCCTGGGGTGCCTCTGGGAGGCAGGGAGCAGCAGCAGGCACTGCAGGAGATTCCTGCAGCACTTGTAGGATGATCCTGCTCCCCAAGGGACGTTCCCATGGGGCCAAGCCAGGAACTGCAATGGGGAGTGGGGCCAGAGAGGGAAGGGCAACCAGGGATGGGCTGTTTGCAGGGGAGGGAGCAGGGGTGGGCAAGAGGAAGAAATTTGTATCAGGAAGAGGAAAGAAAGCAAAGGTGAAGCCAAGGAAATGCTCAGGGCAGTTTGGGGGTGGCTGCCAGGCAGCCCTGGCTCTGAGCAACAGCGTCTGCAGTGGCACAGGAAACTCCCAGCTGATGGGAACAAACCTTCTGGCTGCCTGCAGAGGCCAGGACAAACCTGGGTGGTTTCCCTGCCATTCCCCAGCCCTTGCTGGCCCCAGGGGCTGATGGCATTTGTGCTCCCTCAGGTTCATGTCCCCACAGCAACAGCATGGGGGTGCTGCCCCTGCTGTGTGCAATGCAAACAGGGGCTGCTGAGGCAGTGCTGCCGTGTCTGTGCCTGCAAGGATGGGGCACCTGTGTGAGCTGGGGGAGAGGCCAGGGCTGCAGAGGGGGGATGTTGTTGGCAGCTGCATGAGGACGCTCTTGGACGCTGCCCTGGGCTGTGCAGCGCACTGGGGATGGATCAGCCCCTGCTCTGCTGCTCCTTCCCGTCTCCCCAGGGCCCTTGCAGGGCACCAGCTGCTGCTGCCCTGGGCTGCCATGGCAACCCTGAGGACAAAGCGGTGCCAGGGCTGTTCCAGGTACAATTGCAGTGACACTGGTTGGTGCCAGCAGGTGCCATGGCAACGGCCACGGGGACCCGTTCCTTGGTTTGGTGCCATGGCAAGCAATGCCCGGAGCCGTTGTGATGGTTGGTGGGCATGGAAAGCTGGCCTGGGCCCCTTGCTCAGGGCTGGTGTCAGTGCCCAGAGCCAGAGGGGATCCCTTGCTGGGGGCTGTGCCATGGCCACCTGCCCTGTGCCGCGCTGGCCGCTCAGGCACCAGGAACCAGCAGCCAAGGGCACTGCCAGGGCCAAAGGCCAGGTCAGCCAGACAGAAAGGGGCAGGGCTGGGCACTGTTTCCATGGCAACCGGTGTCGAGAACGGCGGAAGAAATGCAGCACACAATATGCGTGAACAGCAAATCTCAAAGTTTATTGATAACTCACACATATTTATATTGGTGTTAATGAAGCTTATACATATTGCAAAAGCTGAGCTCATTATTGGTTAAAACACACATGAATCAACCACACCTACTTCTATGCTCTAATGATTATTTTGTTTCTATGCTTACATTCTTGTGGCTATTCTACCTAGGCTATCTTCATTTTTCTGGCAAAAGATTTTCTCCCCCATCTTCACGTTGCAGCAAAGGTCACCATGACCCTTGTCAGTGATTGGACACTGATTACTTAATCCCCAGCTTGTTTCCCCTATCCTTATGCAACGGTATCACATCAAAGTGGCCTTTCTCAGCTAGCCAATTATCCACAAAGCTCTCCACATTTCCCCCGTTTTTCTGTTGAACAAGCATGGTTTGATTGAATGTGGTAGATATCATCTTTTGCACCATATTCTGTAAGCATATACAAAAACATGGTAAAATTAATACTAACAACAAAGCTACAATGGCTACTACAATGCCTACCTTAACAATAAAACGTAACCATGATCCTAAGCCTAAAGATTTGAGCCATCCATCAATACCAAGGCCTGATTCTACCTGTAAGTTCCCAGTTAACCTTCGCAACTCAGAGAGCTGTGAGTGAACAGACTGTGCATGATCAGAAAGATTCATGCAACACATGCCTTCAAATTCTTCACAACCATGGCCTTGTGCAAGTAAAAGAAAATCAATTGCAGCTCTATTTTGAAGTGTCGCATGGCGAATAGAATCAACATCAAGCAAAAGACTCGAAATTGCCAAAGAAGTTGCATTTGTTTGTTTAGCAAGCCAACATCCTAACTTGTTTAAAATAGCCTGAGCACCTGCTGCTGATACCCCTGGAGTTAAGAAAGATGCTGCAACTATGGCCGCTGGAGACCAAAACTTTACATCATCCCGGCAGTCGGCTGCAAATGCATGAGCCATTCGTTTGCCTCTACGGTGGCGACAGCTCATGTTCAGTATCATGGATGTGTTGGGTGTAAGTAGAGACAGCCGTCCAAGTGTACATGGTCCCCCGTGCAGCATTGATGGGATACCGGCCCAAGCACGGTCTCCGCATATCAGGAAGTATCCTGCTGGCAATAGAATAGGGTCATTTGATGAGACTCACCCTCTCTTTGTTGTATAATTGCACCAGGCCAATGCATTACGGTAGACAGCCATGCTGGAAGTTACAACATTAGAATGGTTTTTGACTGACAGCAGGCTTCTATAGCTAAAATGAATGCATGCATCTGCCATCACTGACCCTAACAGCTCCAACTCTTGGGGTTCCTGCAGTGCTATAGGAAAGTGAGAAATCCACTGATCCCAATTATCCACACTCGTCCTAGCATTGCTGACCTTACAAGTTGGTATATTTGAAGGGCACGGCCAGGGATCTGCCGGCAATCCAACCAAACAGGTTGTGAATGGATTGCCAGGAGAAGATAATGACAGACAAATAGCCTCCTGTTTAGTTAAGGAGCACGGAGCCTGCTGGGCCTGGAGCTGCCCCTGGGCCAGGTTTCAGGCCAGCGCCTGCGGCAGGGAGATGCAGTGGGGGAAGGGGGATGGAGAGCTGCTGGAGAGGCGGCCTTGGGGCCAGCAAAGGCCAGTTAGAGGAACTCACAGCCAGGCCAAAGACACCCGTTTTGTCCCCATCGGCGGTGCACGTGCTGTGCTTGGGCCAGCTCCCCAGCACGTGCAGCAGTATCAGCAGCACCGGCTCTGCAGTCCTGGGCGAGCACATGATGCTCTTGCACATGGTGAAAGCAGCTCTGTGGGGTTAGAGCTCTGTCTCAGGGGGGTCTCAGACACAGCAGCGGGGCCTGGGCAGCAGTGGGGAGCTGAGCTGGCTGCCAGCTCTGCCTCTGCCCAATGCCACTGGCCAGCAGCAGCCAGGCAGCCCAGGCCTGTGGGGACAGGCCCCTGAGGGGCAGCGAGGGAGCATGGCAGCAGGCTCGGGGGCTGACGTGCCAGGGCTGGCAAAGGGACCAGCCAGAGGGCCCTGGAACTCTCTGTTGCTCAGGCCAGGCTACAACCTGTCCAACCTGGGCCAGGCTGTACAGGCTGATGGGCTGGGGAGCCCTGAGCCCCTCTGGGCACGTGGGCCCCATACCTGTCACAGGACGGGGCCACGCGCAGGAGCGTCACGACTACGTCAGCGGGCTGTGCTTCCGTCAGATCCAGCAGGCACCTGTTCAGCCTGTGCTCAGCAAACTGATTGGCCAGGAGCCACTGGTGGATGTACCTGACCATGGCGGGCACCTGGAGAAGGCACGGGGAGACTTGGAAAGCTGCCAGAGGGAGGAATGTCCCCAGCTTCTCCAGACAAGTGCTTCCCTTGCCACCACACTGCCATGGCCTCCAAGAGTTCCAGTGAGCAGCAGGCATGGCTTGGGAGAGCAAGCAATTCCTGGCAGGATCAAAGCCTGGCCACAGGCTGCTTACTTGCTTTGGCTTGGAAAAGCCCTCCTCTACGAGCATATCCAGCAGAGCAGCACTGGTCTTGGTTTTGAAGATGTGCGAATAGGCTCTGAGACCAGTGCCCATGGTGCTGGTCTCTTCCGCCCGAATTTTCTTGATGAATTTGCAAACCAGCTGTAGGAGAAGGGCAAGAAGCCAGGCATGTTGCAGGCAATGCTCCAAGCGCGGTGCCAGCAGGCCCAGCCCAGGTGGGGATGGCTGCAGCTACCTGCGCTGTTCTGCGGAAGAGGCCACGGGCGGGCTCCTGCTCTTGTGTGCGCTCCAGGGCTGCACCTGGCAAAGAGCGAGCGCAGCCAGAGCTGAGGGGCTGCGGGAGAGGCCGGAGAACACGGCCCAGCCCTGCGCTGCCCAGGCAGGGAGAGCCCCGGGATGCCCCAGGGGATGGAGCACAGCCTCTGCGGGGTGTCTGCCCGGCCCCTTTTTTGTCCTGTCCATGGGCATGGCCCAGGGGATGGCATGGGATGGGATGGGATGGGATGCAAAGGCGCCAAGCTGGCTGCAGGCACCAAGCCTGTGGCCCAGCTCTGCCACTCACCCTCCTGCGGCAGCTCAAATGGCAGCACCTCTTTGGTCTCCTGTGCTGGAGCAGCTGCAGGGCCTTCTTCCGCCTCTTCCCCCCAGGGCACCTTGGGCTCTCTCAGGGGTCTCTGCTCCATGTTAGTGCCTGGATTTTTGGCTACTTTCAGGAGAGATACCTCGGAAAAGCTCCGAGTCAGCAAGTCCTGCAGTTGTGCTTGGAAGGCACCTTCAAGACAGAAGACTCGGCAAGGCTACAGGACAGCAAGTCCTGCACTCTGGTCTCGAGGGCTCCTGCCACAAGGACAGGAGACTCCTGGATTGTGGAGGGGTCACGGATTCAAGGTGTCAATGGTTGTGGTCAGGCCTCGAGGGCACTGGTGGCAGGGATGGGAGATGCCTCTGGGGCACCAAGTCCCACGCCCTGCCCTCGAGAGCACCTGCAGAAAAGAAGTCTCGGCAAGGCCACGCGTCACCAAGTCCTGTGGCCTGGCCTGGAGCTCAGCTGCAGGAATAAGGCCTCGCAAAGGCTGCGGGTCAGACAGGAACGAGTGTGCTGTGCGGGGCCTCCTCACGGCACCGCTCTGTCCTGTTCTGCCCCGTTGCATGCTCCCAGCAGCCGGGCAAGCTTCTATTTCCCACGTGTCACAAAGGGGCCTTGGTCACCGGGTTCCCTTCCATGGCACGCTGACCGTGCTGCAGCGTGCCAGCCAGGGCCCTTGCACACACTGCCTTCTGCCCTGGGGCTGCCCCCAGCCCAGCCCAAGTGGCCCAGCTTGGAAGGAATCCCTGGCACCAAGTGTCTAAGACAGCCCAACAGGGTCTTTAGGACCGGCTCAGACCATCAGCAAATGCTGCCCTGCTCTGCAGGCTCAGGGCAGCAGAATGAGCCCCATGGTCTGATGCCGTGCTGGGAAGGGCACAGGACCTTCCAGAGAAGCTGGCACGGCTTCCTTGGGACTCAGCCCAGCTGGTGGCCATCCTAAACCTGCGGGTATGACATGGACAGGAACATGTGGGCCAGGGCATGAATGCTGCTCTGACCCCTGGGGCCCAGGGAGTGCTGACATCAGCAGGTGTGGCAGAGTCCCTGCCCAAGCAGAGCTGCCACCCCCCGAGCCCTGGCAGTGCTGGTGCCCATCTCCTGCCCCAGAGACCTGTGCCCCCGGGGGGCTTCTGTGCCACAGGGAGCCAAAGCCCACGTGCATTGGGGGCTGTGCTCCTTCCTGCAGGGGCTGTTGGCAGCAGCACCTGGAACAACTGCTGGCAACACTTGGTCTCTGCCAGAAGGTCTCACTCCCTGCTGAAATTATTTTCTCATTGAAGTCATTTCCTTCAGCACAAAAACATCTTACTGAAGGCACAGAAGAATCTGGGGTTTAAGATTCCTCAACTCAGAAAAGCTTTACTTTCCATTGCTCAACTCAAGTAGTTCCAAAAAGTTGCAAACTTCCCACATTCATTGGGATTGCCTGAGAAGGTGAAGAGTTGGAATCTTGCTTATCATTGTTATAAATGATCAAATCGTGAGCCAAAATTATCAAAAATTTAGCAAAGATTCATTAATTTGTCTGCGAGACCGAATTCCGATGTTCGAAACCACCACAGCCAAAGAGACAGCGCCGAGCCCGAGTTTGGCGCTGGGTGAACCTGGACCTGACCCCTCGAGTGTCAGAGTCTCCCCCATTCACGCACGCTGCTTCTTGCAGCGAGGTTTTATACAGTTCATTGTGCCCAAGGCAAAGATGACCAAATTTCCTTTGTAACTCTTCACACGCATCGCTGTTTCTTTCCATGTGCAGAGCTGGACAAAAGCCGGGTCCAGGTGTGCCATTGGTGTCAATCGGCTCCGGGGAAGCCGTGTATGCAGATGTATCAGTTTGGCGCCGCTGACTGTCTTGAGAGATGCAATTGGCAAGGCGATAATCGCTCTTGGGTGGCTCCTGAGGACTCGGGAAACCGGTGATCACCGCCCTGGATGCTTCTATTCTTACGTTAAGGCATCGATCGTTATCTTAACGTGTGTCCAGGAACTAGTTGAATCTAAATAGACAGCTGCTCCCGGCTGGCATGGTCAAAGGCATGCTTTTGGATTTCATAATATTTTTTACCATACATTAATAGCATGAATTATCCCTACCATATTATACAATCCCTCCCCTTTTATATCACTAATTTAATTCATGCTTCTTTTATAGCCCAAATTGCTAAATTCTTTTTATATCTCCTTCTATTTGCCACCATTAAGGGTCTTTCACAAAGAGAGTAACCTTTATTAAACTATTCTGTACTCCCCTTATGGAATACCCTGATACTCAGTATTGTTTACACTCGTTTTTGCTCGTTTCTTAAATTTTGCCAATACTTGGGCAGCATTGCTGGCATACTTCTTTTCTCCCAGGCTCATGATCTTAGGTGTGTTGCTTCCGGAAGCCAACTCCGGGTGCACGGGCACTATTGCTATCTGCATCACCTGTACGACGGAGTGGATCAGTCTAATAAAACAAGGAATTACACATGGCAGGAACAGGATTCCAGCTACTGAATACAGCACAAAGAACATAGTTGTATTCCACCAGGCCCCATCAAACAATTTGTCCCACCATGAAGATTGCAAAATTGAATTCCATATTTGAACAGGGACATGGGCCACTTTCTTGATTTTGTCTGCCAATCCTCTCATGGTCTCCCCATAACTGTCAATCTCAATACAGCATTCTGATTCATTGAACTTTCCACACACTCCCCCTTCTTCGGCCAGCAAATAGTCTAAAGCTATTCGATTTTGGTACACAAATGCCCATACCTGGGTGTGCTGCTGACTAAGTAAATCCAGGGCCTCAGAGGTGTGATTTGATACCATTTCCACCACTGCCTGCAGCCGAATCAGCCGGCTCAGTAGGTAAATCGGAGTCCTATACCCGTAGCTTCCATCTTGAGCCCACGTGCTCGGTCCATAATAATCAATTATTCTTGCAGCCGGCCACTCTTCCTCCCCCCAGGTTTGTTTACCACTTATTACAGGTATCATCTTTTTCAAGCTTCTCCTCTCCCTCCTCAGGGTCTCATACAGAGGAGCCCCTAGTAGGTTACTTTTCATTCGAGGGAGAGTAAAGAAGACTGGCCGGATCATGCCCAGAGTGCATGATCCCTTCCACCTTGGGGGTAACTCACTGTATGCCTTTTTCCCGCAAATTCAATCAATTCCATCTGGGGCTTTCCATCTGATATTCGTCCTCCCTGGGTCTCCCCAGTATTCTCTCAAGCCCTCCAAGGATTGGAAAGGGTTGGCTCCAGGATTTTTGACTCAGCACAGTCCTATCCTTTTGTTCCATTCGCAATTGGTCTCATTCTTCCGGCTCCAGTACCCCGTAGGGGTTCTGGTTGCCAGACCTTGCCCTTGTTGTTTGAATTTACCGTCAGGGTAGTTACACACGGAGTGTATCCCACCATCTCAGTATATTCCTTTCCTTCCCGACTGATGCAAATAGTTCCAATTACCCTCTGGTCCAAAATCTACCCCTCAGGCCTCTGTGCCAACTTTGAGACTTTTGGATTGTCCCATTTCAGAAGCTGTTCCGGAGCCAAACCTTCCCCTTTTCATGGCCATTTCTCTGCTGACTTCAGCCCCTCACAAATCCAGCAATTTGACAATCCCAATTCAGTTGCAATTTCTTGCATCAAATCAATCGATTTCTGTCCGGGGAAGGCAATTCCCCATCAGCATATTTTTTCTCAAGTAATTCATTCTGTTCTTCCAGAGTTTTTAATCTCTCTTGTTCAATTCTTTTCTTCCTCAGTTCTGACTCCCTTCTCTTCAATTCCTGAGTGATCTCTCATTCTTCCCTCAGGATCCTCACCATCTTTATTTTTCATGAAACAGACAACCCGGTCATATTGCAGGCACACCCTATCATCATTCACCTGTGCCAAATCCAATATGTCATAACACAATGGGTTCACATGGTGATACGCGACAAAGATCGATTCAGTTTTTCCCCCAACCCACATGGTTCGATTGCATTGGTTACAAACGGGGATTGACATTATTTCTGCACTCCGTTTCCGTATCTGATGCTTGTGCTCATCTGACTGCCCGTTCCTTGACCCTGCCTCAGAATTGATACACCAAATCTCCTTGTCCAATTTACATAATTTGACCCTTGTGCCGTTCACCCAACAGTACCTGCCAGGCTCCTTGATGCATTCTTCCGGGGCTTGGTATGCTGAGGGTTTCCCATCCCCTTGCACAACTGGGACCACCTGAGGGCAACTTCCGCACTCATCTGCAGAGCTCTCGTTTCCGCCTCTCATCGGGACCTCAATGTGCAGACTGCGTCCTGCACATGGCCAGGCTCAGGCCAGTCAGGATTCCCACCAGGCGTACTCCTCTGCCTTTGCCTCCTCCCCCTGGGGTGCCACCAGCGGTGGGGAAGACCATCTTCGCAGCAGCAGGAGTATTCTTCAGGGAACACATTTTCTGACCTAGCCGCATACCTCCTTTTAAAGGCGCCTCACCGTGAAACCTTGACGGCATCTGAACTGCACGGTACCTTGATTGATTTCCAGCACTCCACATCCAGAATCTCTGCCTTTGATCTAAGCTTTCCACGCACCCCGTTCTGAAAAATCTGAAACCACTCCTGTGAATCTAATTCAATGATTCCTAGATTTGTGGCTAGGGTTAGGATTCGGTCAGGCGGCTCAAGCTCCTCCTCCAGACAGTGAGTGCACAACCCCTTTGGCCTCTGTCCCCTTCTACAGTGTACAACAAACACCCCCTGACAGTATTCACATTTGAAATGTACAAACAGATAGCATACACAGTCAGACAGTCTACAACCTATCCGATCACTGTTGGTCATTTACAAGGATGTTGGAGTCTGAGTTTCAAGTTGCCTGGGGAAGAAGTGACCTTCCACTCGGGCGCTTCCTCCTGATGTTCGACTTTCTTCACCCTAGATGTGTGCGTCCAGCCTTTCTCCGCCATCCGAATGGCTGTGTCTGTTGTCAGGAGCACAAGAAAGGGGCCTTCCCAGTGAGGGGAGAGGGGTACATCTTTCCACACTTTCACAAGCACTCTGTCACCCGGTTGGATTTTGTGGATAGTGAATCCCAGAGAAGCACTCTGAGATATTATCCCTTGTTTCCTGAGTTCTTGCAAATTTTTGTTGATTGTAACCAAATATGGTTGAATCTGACAGTCCTCAAGCCTGGGGTGTCCATCCCATGTCTATATGGCATCCCATACAGCATTTCAAACTGTGAGAGTCCCGTCTCTGAATGAGGCATCATCCTGATATTAAGCAATGCTAGAGGCAGGCATTTCAACCAATCCGAGTTTCTAAAATTAATTTAGACAACTGCACTTTCCAAGTCGGATTCATCCTTTCCACTTGTCCTGAGCTCTGGGGATGCCACAGAGTGTGGTATTCCCACCGAATGCCTAGCACATCAGCCATCTACTTAATAATCTTTGATGTAAAATGTGTTCCTTGGTCTGAATCAATGCAATTCACCACCCCATATTGGGGTACAATTTCCTCTAGTAATTTTCTGGACACTGTCTGAGCCCTTGCCCATGGGCTAGGAAAAGCCTCCACCCAATGGGTCAATTTGTCCACGATCACAAGCACAAATTTGAATCTCCCCACTTTTGGCAATTCTGTGAAACCAACTCGAATTCTTTCAAATGGTCGGTACGCTACGGGGCGATTCTCCAGGATGGCCTGTTTTGCCCTTGTCTTGTTGACTTTCTGGCAAATCAGGCATCCTTGTACCTCTTGTTTGGCCAATTCGTAAATTCCCTTGCACCCAAAAAATTTCAAAAATTGCTCTGCCAGGGCCTGTGCCCCCCAGTGTGTTCGCTGGTGCAGTTTCCACAAATCCTCCTGGTAAAACCTTTAGAAACTAGTTCTCTCCCATCAGGTAATCTCCACTTACCTTCTTTCAATTTTCCTCCAATCTTTTCATAACATTCAATCTCCTCTTGAGAGGGCTGTGGAGGATCATCTGGGACCTCAGTCCCTTTGATCTCCGGGGTATTCACCGTCATCAGTGCCATGGTCTTGGCTTCCTGGTCCGCCAAATTGTTTCCCCTGGTTCGGAACTCTGAATTCCTGACTGGTGTCCCTTTACATGGAGCACCACAGTTTCCTCCGGCCCCCTTAGAGCTTCTAAGATTTGCCGGATCAATTCTCCGTGCATCAGTCCCTCCCCCCTTGTGTTGATCAGCCCCCTTTCCTCCCAGATTTTCCCAAAAGTGTGAACCACTCCAAAGGCATACCTAGAATCTGTAAAAATTGTTCCCTTTCTCCCTTTCAGTCCCTTCAAGGCTCTCAGAACTGCATACAGTTCACATGCCTGTGCTGACCAACTCGCACTCAGGGCACCTCCTTTAATCACTTTTCCCGTCTGTCCATCCACGACTGCGTATCCTGATTTCCTTTTCCCATCAACTACCCTGCTTGATCCATCCACAAACCACTTCTCTCCTTCATCCAACTCTTCCTCTTCTAAATCCTCTCTGATCTTTGTTTGTAATTCAACCACCTCCATGCAATCGTGAACAAGCTCCTCTGAAGCTTCCCCAAACAAAAACTCTGCAGGGTTCTGTGCGGTCATTGTTCTCAATTCCAAATCCTGCGAGTGAATCAAAATGGCCTCATCCTTCAGCAATCTAGCATCAGTGAGCCATTTGTCTGCCTTCTGCTGTAGTATGTCCCGCACGTTGTGCGGTGCAAATGCTACCAGCGGTGCGCCGGAGGTTGCCTTTTTGGCTTCCTCCACCAGCAATGCTACAGCGACAATCACCTGCACGCAGGTGGGCCAGCCCTGCTGACCGGATCCAAAAGCCTCGACAAGTAACCCACCGGTGTCCTGACCCCTGCCCAGTCCTGTGTCAGCACCCCATGTGCTGCGTGACTGCTCACGTCCACAAACAACTGAAAGGGTTTCTTCACATCAGGGAGGCTCAGCACTGGTGCTGCTGTGAGTGCTTCCTTGACTCCCCTGAATTCTTCTTTGTCTTTCTCCATCCATTTGATTTGTTCTGTGGTGAGTTTCTCGTATAGAAACTTCACCTTTTCGCTGTACCCTTCAATCCACTGCTGGCAATATCCCAACAACCCCAAAAGCTGTCTGACCTCCCTTTTTGTTTGCAGGGGTGGTAAGGCAATAATCCCTGCCACCCTCTCTGGATCCAATTTCTTTTTTCCCCTGGTTAACCAGTGTCCCAAGTACCTGACCTCGGGCTCTGTGAACTGCAACTTCGACCCCTTCAACCTCTTTTCCCCTAAAAAGTTCCAAAGCTCAATGGTGCTCACCCTTACAACCTTCTCCCTTGGGCCTGCAACCAACAAATCATCTACATATTGTAGCAATTTTGTCCCCTCTGTTGGTACAAAATGACTCAACACCTGCTCAAGTGCATGCCTGAATAAATTCAGGGAATCCACGAAGCCCTGAGGCAACGATGTCCACCTGAGCTGCTGCTTTCTGTTCGTCTCCAGGTCTTCCCACTGAAATGCAAAATAATCTCTGCTGCCCTCTGCTAAAGACAGGTCCAAAAAGCATCCTTCAAGTCAATCACGCTGTACCACGTGTCCTCAGGAGAAATGTTATTCAACAAAGTGTAAGGATTTGAGGCCATGGGGAACAAAGTCTTAGTGCTCTGATTCACAGCCCTTAATTTTTGCACCAGCCTAATGCTCCCATCTGTCTTTTTCACAGCCAAAATTGGGGTGTTGTGCTGAGACATGCATGGCTCCAATGTTCCTTTCTTTATCAATTCATCAATCACTGGTTTCAATCCCTTTCTCCCCTCCATGGCGGTGGGATATTGTTTGACCCGTATAGGGTCTTCTGGTCTCCCAATTTCGACACAAATCCGCTCTATGTCCAACCTCCCAGCTTCCCCTTCGACATACCACACCTTCGGGTCTATTTTCTCCTCTTCCTGAACGGTGAGTTTATACATTCTCACCCTGAGCCGGGAATTCTCCACTGCCGAGCCGATTTCTAGGGCTACCATCATGTCCCGCCCCAGTAAATTAAAATCCGCATCCCGTATCGTTAATATATGTCCTGTACATCTTTTGTTTTCCGTTTCTATTTCTACATCTTTTATGATCGGAACCTCAAAGGGTTCCCCTTTTGCCCCGATTACCATCAGTGAGTCGTCACTCAGAGAGCACCCTTGTGGCAGCTGCTCACCGCTGTCCGTTCCGCCCCCGAGTCTACCATAAACCACATCTCCTGCCTGTGGGGTCCTACTTTTAATTTTATCAAGGGCTCCCTCGGTGTTCCGGACCCCAAACTGAGAAGCCCCTGACACCCCTAAACTTCTTGAAACATTGCCTGGTCCTTGGCTTTGCTGGGACAATTCCTTCAGATGTGTCCCTTTTGCTTGCAGTAATAGCACTCGAAATCTCTCCTCTGATCATTCAATCCTTTTGCTTGGGAAGAGTTCTGTTTCTTTGCCAGCGCCTTCTTCACCGTGTCTCTGCCCTGCTCCTGTTTTTGTGCTTCCCTTACCACAGCTACCAATACCTTAGCTTGGATCTTCTGTTTCTCTTCGTCTCGTCTCATGTAGACTTTCTGGGCTTCCTGAAGCAGCTCCTGCAACCCCTTTTCCTGCCACCCATGCATCTTTTCTAACTTTTTCCAAATGTCCTCCCAGGATTTTGCTACAAACTGAGTTTTTAGCAAAACCGCCCTGATCGGAGAATCGGGATCCATGCCCAAATACATTCTCAAGCCCTTGCGGAGCCTCTCCAACCATTCCGTGGGAGTTTCATCTTTTCCCTGGCACTCTCTGAGTACCTTCCTCATGTTCTGTCCCTTGGGTACCGCTTCCCTGATACCCTGAATTATCATATTTCGGAAAATTATCATTTTCCGCCTCCCCTCCTCCGTCTGGGCATTCCAGGACAATTTTTGGTTTGGCCATCTCTCATCCCCGCTTTCCCTGTTGGGGTTTCACTTTTCCCAGTCTTTGATCACAGCTAGTCTGATCATGTCCCTCTCCTCATTGTTGAACAGCGATCTCATGATCCCTTGGAGATCCTCCTAGGTGTAGGTGCTGGTCCCTAGAAATTCATCTAGCCTTTCTGCCACCCCCAAAGGATCATCCATTAATTTTCCCATCTCTTTCTTGAACGCTCGCACATCACTGGTGTCTATCGGGGCGTGTACAAAGCCAATAACTCCAGGAGCTGTCGGCACCTCCTGTAAAGGGAAGAAACGGGGCTTCTCTTCCTCATCCTCACTGTCTCCCGTGGTTGCCCTCTTCATTCGCTGCCTCGTTCAATAGGCCAAGGGAGATCTGACTTTGGGGATGGTTACCTGTTTTTCTTCAGTTTTGGGAAGGGTCGGCAGCAGTGGTTGCTCACATGGGAGCGGAGTCGCCGCCGCTTGTTCACGTGGAGGGGAAGGCGCCACAGCCTGCTCTGGTGGGAGCCTGGAGGAGTGGGGGGATCGGCCCAGGCTCTGTGCTTGTTCAGGATCCCCGAGTGCAGCAAACGGGAGAGTTCCCGGCTGGCAGAGGCCCCGCTCAGAGGGAGTCGCTGGCCCAGGAGAGCTCCAAGGGCTCCTTTTGGAGCGCTGTTTGCAGGGCCCCAAGAGAGGGGCTTCAGTCCCAGCAATGGCTCATCCTGGCCGCACTGGGCACCAACAGCTTTCTTTGGCAGGGTGAGAACAGGGATCTTGTGCCACTGAGGGAACAAAACCAGTTCCCAGGGCTGCTGCTAAAGGAACCAGGAGCTGGTTGGGCAGCAGCAGTGCCTGGAGCAGACAGTGTTTGTGATGAGCTGCAGAGGAGCTGAGCCCAGGGGCTGTTGGCCAAGGCCGAGGCCCAAGGAGCATTTCTCAGCTGGCAGAGCAGCCTGAGAAGGGCAGGGGGGAATGCACCAGCACAGGGCCATGGAATCGAGGCACCATTGTGACACTGTGGGGCCTAGTGAGACCAAGGCACCATAGTGACACTGTGGGGCCCTTTGAGACCAAGGGACCACTGTGACATTGCTGGGCCAAATGGAACCAAGGGGACTGTACTGACACTGTGTAGCTCCATGAAATGGAGGGATCATTGTGAAACACAGAGGCCTCATCAAACCAAGGGTCCATTGTGACACCAGGGGGCCTCATGGCACCATGGAGACCATTATGACACTTTGGGGTGTCATGGAACCAAGGGGCCATTGTGACACTGCAAGACTCCATGGAACCAAAGGTTCATTGGGACATTGCAAGGCCTCATGGAACCATGCAAAGACAATTAAGACACTTTACAGCCTCATGGAACCAAGGAGCCATTGTGACACTGAGGGGCACCATGGAATCATGGAGACCATTGTGACACTGGGGGTCCCTAGAGAACCAAGGGCCCATTGTGATTTTGTGGGGCCTCGTGAAACCAAGAGGCCTTTGTGACACTGCAGGGCTGCATGCAACCAAAGGTCCATTGTGACACTGCAGGGCCTCATGTCATCAGTGCTCCATTGTAACACTGGGCAACCAAAGGAAACCATTGTGACACTGCAGGGCTGCATGGAACCAAAACTCCAGGGCGACACAGAGTGGCCTCCTGTCATCAATGGTCCATTGTGACACTGTGGAGCCAGAGGAGACCATTGTGACACAGCAAAGCCCCAGGGTCCAAAGGTCCATTGTGACATTGCAGGGCTCATGGAACAGAGGAGTCACGCGACATTGTGGGGCCTGGGGAACCACGGAGACCATTGTGACACTGCAAGGCCTCATGGAATCCTTGGGACCATTGTGACACTGCGGGGCCTTATGACACCTGGGGGCCACTGTGACATTGTGGGACCCCATCGAACCTGGGGGCCAGTGTGACACTGCAGGTCTTCTTGTAATCAAGGGGCCATTGTGACACTGCTGGAACCCATGGAATCAAGTCACCATTATGACACTGCGGGGCCCCATGGGTCCAAGGCACCATTGTGACACCCTGGAGCCCCATAAAACCAAGGGAACACAGAACAGCTCTGGCTGGTTTGGCCTCCCATGGGCTGCCTGACTGGTCCAAGGGACCTTTGCATGTTGAGGGTCACTTCTCATCTTCTGCTGAAACACTGGGGCTCTGTGCTTTCCTTCCCAATGGAAAGAACTGTCCTTCTGCTTCAGGCAGCCATGGCCAGAATTGGGATTTCACCTCCAAATTTCCTTCAGCCCAGGGATTGTTCCCATAGGAATATTGCCAGGACAAGTCTGTCTAGCAGTGGTTTCACCTCTCATCTGTCCCCAAAACACTGGGGAGGCTCCATGCTGTCCTTCCCATGGGAAAGAACTGTCCTGCTTCTCCAGGTACCCATGGCCGAGATTGGGCTTCCACCTCCAAAATTCCTAAATCCAAAATCTGCTATTACTGACAAGTCTGGCTGGCCTTGGCCTACTAAGGCTCTCACCTGCCTTCAAAACTTTGGAGCTCTGTGCTTTCCTTCCTATGGAAAAGAACTGTCCTTCTCAGCCAGGTGCCCATGGCCACAATTGGGATTGCACCTCCAACATTGCCTGTTGTGACAGACTGGAGGAGATTGTTGGCTCCAAACATTTTGTGTGTGGGGGAGGAAGGGGCAGGTCGGGCCTTGCCCTGCCCTGTAAGCCCAGCCCTGCCCTGCCCTGTGACCTCAATGCCCCCAGGGGCCTCCAGTGGGTTTACGGTTTCTACCTGAACCGCGGCACACTGAACCCCCAGCACCGCCGTCCGAGCCTGGGCACTGGGGCCCTCTTGGCTCTACTCAGTGCTGCTGCTGTACTCGGGGCACCCCAAACCCCGGTAGGGACCCGTGTCCCCCCACTCCAGGGATTGTGCGCACACCACCGCTCCTCCCCAGACGGCGTGGAGGAGAAGGAGGTCAGCTCCATTGTCCTGAAGAGCTGGGTCTTCTTTCCTCACAAGAGTCTCTGAGTAGACGCCTGTTGGTTTCAGGTTCAGAATCTTTATACTGCTCTTGGCCCACACTGGTTAGGTTGATGAAGGCAAAAAGTTCTGACCAGGATCTTTGATATTATCTTAGGTTCTCTTTGTTTAGAGGTGTTATTTTGATTCTTTATTTGCATGGTGGTTCGTTGTTCTAGGAGTTTTTGTTATGTAATCCTTTTCTGCTTAGTCTTATGGGAGTATCCTATTTGCTTATTAAGTGATGTAATCATCCTCTTTATGGTCTCGGGTGGTTTGCCATTTTAGATGGGAGTGGAAGCAGCGGGGGGAATACTCAACAGTAAGTGTTGCCTTCTTGTGAAGGCCATGGCGACCTGGTTTCAGGGTCCAGCACTTCGATCTCCTTCGTGGGATCCCTTGTGGCCAATAACAGACGCTGACACCAACGTGGTGGACGGTTAAAGGCCTTTATTGAGGGGTCTTAAGGGTATTTATGGACTAAGAGGTCTCTCTACGTCAGACAGGGGTTTGGCTATACTTTCTAGGGTTAGTGTGGAGTGGAAAGTTACTGGCATGCATAGGTTAGGGGGGCTACACGTCTGGCTACATTCCAAGGGTGATCCTTATCTATGGGGAGGGGGGTAGAAGGATTCCTGTAATTTTCCGTTACAGCCCGAAATCTTCCGAGCGCCTGTCCCTGGCCTACCACAAGTAAGGGGATTTACATAATTATAAAACCTTTAAAAAAACAATTAAAACTAACACCGGCACTTTACGTAACTATAAAACATTAAACAAACAATCTATACCTATCATTGGAACTTTCTATTAACTCCTTTACCAATGTATTCTCTACAACACCCTGGCAAGTTGTGGAACCAAGGGGATCATTGTGGCACTGTTGGGGCCCATGGAATCAAGGGGCCAGTGTGGAAACAAGAGGCCATTGTGAGCCTGTGGGGTGTAACAGCCCAGAACACTGAAATGCTGCAGGTAACCAAAGGCTCCTTTACTCAAGTTGGGTGCACAGCAGGAACAGCAGCCACATATTCTCAAGAGGTCAAAAGGACACAGAATTTTACTGGCAAAGTACAAAAACACAAGAAACTTTGGAAGAGGATTTACTGCAA